TTCAAAGAGCAAACGGCCAAGTGCCGAGCTCAATGGGAGGAAGCTTTCAACTCCGACATAAAATATATATGTATACAAACGTACATGAAGAATGCATGAATAAAATGCATTTACATTTGTTTAAAAATATTGGGTATCCAACATACTTATATATACCAAATGCATGCGGCAAGAGTTTTGATACTCGTACCTTTGTTCTACAATCAGCCAGCAAGAGAGCTTAACTCATGTAAGCAAATTAAGCTCTTGTGAGATAAAGGGAATGACTGACCATCCCGTAAATGGCTCTCTATGGCCGTGAGAAAAGAGCCCATAAACGGCCTCAATGCCGAGTTAAATTAAACGGCTCGGCCTCAAAAAACATATGCGGCTTTTGGTGGTCGTACAACAATTTGAGACCAAGCTAGCCTTGTACATTGAGACGACATCGACGCCGGATGAAAATGCAAACCATGGTTGCTTAGAGCATAGCAACTCGACATAATTTGTCTTGAATGCCGATCATGGCTACAGCCTACAAGCTTAGGGTATGGCTACTAGGCCGCCGAGCTCCTCATGCCGAGTGAATTAGCGAAGGTCACCCTCAAGAGCATAGCAGCTCGGCAAGAATGCCAAGCTCCTCATGCCGAGCTCCAGGGGCGGAGCTAGAAGGGGACGAGTGGGGACACTTGTCCCCCCATTTTCAAAAAAAAAAATTAAAAAAAAAATTAAAAAAAAAATCGCTGGATGTGAACGCTAGAACGGATGAAACGAAGAACTGAAGAAGCACTGCTCCATCTTCACTCGAGTACTCGACCATTACTCCAGTAGATCGACCGCCGTCGGCTTTCCGTTCTTCGCTGATGTGCTGCGACGCTGCCTCAGTCATCACCAGCCACTCAGCCAGTCCAGCCTCTAGTAGTCAGTACTTAGTAGATTGACCGTCCTCGGTGGCTCGGTTAGTTGGTCCTCTGTCCTCACCAGTCACCACTTCACCAACTGCGCGCTGCCTAACCGTCCGACCGTCGGGCCTCGGCCGTCTTCGCTGCATCACATCCATCAATGGTATGTCTTGTTAGCCCTAATTCGAAATCCCCAATTTGAAATCCCCAATTGTTAACCCTAATTTTCAGATTTTAGTTGAATTATTGTTAATTTTAATTGCAATTTTTGTTGAATTTTTATTTTAATTACAATTTTAATCTTAGGTTTTTTTATTATGCAATGATATGGATTGTGGAAATTGATATATATTTTTCAATTTAATTAGGAAATGTCAAATGATTCACCTAATTCAAACAAATCCAAGGCTACTAGAAAACAACCTGATCTTCGACAATTCATGTTTAAAAGAAAGAAACTCCATGAAAATGAGTCCAATAACTCCCCTTCATTTAGCTCCCCTCAAAGTCAAGAAAATGATATGGAAATGGGTGGTTCAAGTCACTTTTATTGAGAAGGATATCTTCTTACAAGTTTCCAATGAAAAAATTATTGATCGCTTTCAAAATATGAGGACTCGAAGGATGAAAGTGTAATTTTAATTGAATGTTTATGTAATTTTTTTTCATCATTTTGACTTGTATGACTAAGTATTTTTACATTTTGAAATTATAAAATTAAGTATTAACCAATATGTGTGTTTGAGTTTTTTTTTCGTTAAGATTTTTGTCAAATTATATTATATTCATAATTTGTCCCCCCAATTTGAAAATCCTGGCTCCGCCACTGCCGAGCTCCCTGTGAGTGTCAACCGTCCTTCCCAAATACACACGGCAGCTAGTGGGTTGAGCTTGGTGGCCGAGTTGCATATGAGCAAAGGCCCACCTCTTTGTTTCTAAACGGCCATCTTGCCGGAAGAAATTGCAAAGCTCTCATGATTATATCATACGGAAGCTAGCTGGGCAGCACTATGCATGAAAGCAACAAACTAAAAGCTATCATGATTATATCATGATTGTCTAATACAAATATAATTATTTTTAATCCAAGAATTATTATTTAATATCAATATATATATATATATATATATATATATATATATATATATACACGGGGAGGTTCCGCTAAAAACAGAGCTTATGGTGAAAACTAAAAACAAGCAATCTTAGCCATTCATTACTAGCACAAAAGATCAGACGGTTCTAAAGCCCTAAGATCATTCCAACCTTACATATAATCAATTCAACCGTTTTAAAGGTCTTTTTTTTTTTTTTTTTTTTTTTTTTTTGACAAACACAACGTTTTAAAGGTCACTACATGCTAAAATAAGGTAACTTTATCTAAATTGAAGATATTTACATAGAGTCACTATATATAAAAATAACGTAACTATATACAAAAATAGGGTAGCTATATCAATTTTTACCGTATTTACATTAAGGTCAGTATATACAAAAATAGGGTAACTATTTCAATTTTGACCATATTTACATAGAGGTCACTATATACAAAAATAGGGTAACTTTAACAATTTTTACAACATTTACATTAAGGTCACTATATACAAAAATAAAGTAACTATATCGACTGAGTTTTTGACACCATTTACATAAAGGTCACTATATACAAAAATAAAAGTCACTATATATAAAAATAAGGTGACTGAAACAAAATTTACAACATTTCCATAATTCTAAGGTCATTATATCGAAAATAAGGTAACTGTATATAAACTTCGGGTAATTATATCAATTTGACACCATTTACCCAGAGATCAATAAATATAAAAATAAGTATTAAAAAAGTCTATGTAGGATTCGAACCTACATCCCGTGATTACACGGTGCTTGACCAATTGAGCTAATAGGCTTTTAACATGCCAAAAATCACGCCCACATAAAAAACTAAGATCGATAAAGGGTGAAATAAAATCATCATTCGTGAACATTTAATTTTGCTCAAGTTGACTAATCGAGGCCTTGTAAAATTAGATTCAGAGTGTTGTACTGCTATGCATGATGGATTGGAGTATATAATGCATCATTTTCCACTGGATTTAGATAGTGTACTCAAACAAAATACAAAGTCTTAATACCATTCAAGTAATCAAGAGATATGAAAAATCTGATCAATAAAAGTAAAGCTAAAAACAAAGATGCAAAACAAAGTCCTAGCTCTATCTTAGTAAACACGCTGGCAAAAAAAAAAAACAAAATTCAAACAGAACAGCACATTACATAAACTTGGAAGTTGGACCTCTTAGACAATACAAGTATATGGAAATTCATACTCTAACTGAGAATTCATCATATGCAGACTCCTGAATATGAGAGTAACATACTTCCTGAATCCCGACTTAAGTTTATGTGGATCGAACATAACTGAAGAGGTATGAAGGCAAGGTAGAGCACCAAAACATAAATTCAGATCATAACATAGACCCAAAAGTTTAACAGGCCAAGATACTAATATAACAAGGACTGGTACAAAACTGAACATGTAAAAATTAATGAAAATCAAAGTCAAATTACCGTCTTGTCATTAATGTATCGAGCAGCATAACCAACACCAGATTTTCTATGCTGACCAGTCTAGAAAATTTCACCACCTAGAGAGATCTTTGGGGTCACACTTTGCATCCCACCATTCAAAGGAAAAGAAAATCACACCAGTAATCAAAGTTCAACATCAGCGAGTACAGCTGAATCAACCAAATCATACCTCCACTGACCAGCCTCTTAATTGTCCCTTATATACCAACATAAAATACTGGTTTTTGAGGTCTCACCTAGCTACATCCATTACAGAATACATACATTTAGATTAAGTACTTTGAAATGCAGACTTTCATCCAGATTTCATCCAGATAACCTCATATTACACTAGAACTCTAAGCTCACTCTAAGACAACTCTGCTCCTGAATCTCAATGTTGATCGTGTTCTAAGCAGAGGTTTTCCTTTTCTTAGTACTCATTCTCTGTGTACAAAGCAGAGCTAATTTATGTCTCCAAACTCTCACTAATTCACTCACACATCCACTAAAAACACTTCATATTACTCAAAATTCGAATTAACTACTCCAAACTCTCACTAATTCACTCACAAATCCACTAAAAACATTTCAAATTACACAAAATTCGAATAAACTACTCCAAACTCTCCCGAATTCACTCACAAATCCACTAAAAACACTTCAATTACTCAAAATTCGAATTAACTACTCCTAACTCTCCCGAATTCACTCACAAATCCACTAAAAACACTTCAAATTACTCAAAATTCGAATTAACTACTCCAAACTCTCACTAATTCACTCACAAAACCACTAAAAACACTTCAAATTACTCAAAATTCGAATTAACTACTCCAAACTGTCACTAATTCACTCACAAATCCACTAAAAACACTTCAAATTACTCAAAATTCGACTACATTAAACGTAATTCCTTTTTTCGATTCTACCTCTCATTCAATGAGAAAATCAATTCAAAGTTCCAGCAAATTCCACAATATACATAACATAACAACAACACAGATCAGACATGCACCGAAAACCTAATTTTCCAGATATCAAAAAACCAAAATAATCAAAAATATCAGATCGAACTACAAAAATACCTTAGCCGCTTCTCCTGAAAGTCGAATCCACCAAAACTCGCCGCCTTCCTCCTTCCGCCGCATTTAGAGAGAGAACGAAGAAAGAGAAACACGCAGTAGAGAGAGAAAACAAAGAAGCTGGTTGAAGAGAGAGAAAGTACGAAAGAAAGAGAGAAGAGAGAGGAGAGAGAAAATAACCTGGAAATTAAAGAGGAGAGAGAAATTCAGAGATGTCTGAAAATAAGAGGAAAGAAATCTGAGCCATACAATTTGATAACGGCTCAGATTAAACGTTTTCAGTTTTTACTTTAACACTTGTTTTTATATGATCCTATTCCTATATATATATATATATTTATTTATTTATTTATTTATTGGAATGGATGTGAAAATTGAAAACGGATGATTAGGGCCGTCAGATTTGTATCGGATGGATTAGATGGATTAGATGACGCTCGCGCTATAAGCCGTCTAACACATCAAGTTTTCTGAAAAATATTCTCTCTCCTCCCTTATTTCCTCTTTCCTCCATAATTTCATGGTTTTCTTTCTCACTCCTCTCTCTTTTTCTCTCCTATCTCTGGTCATCAAATCTTAAAGAAATTGTTATAAATTATCAAATTAAAGTTGAATTAGCTTCAATCTTTATTAATAACGCCATCGATTTCTTGTTGGAGCTAACAAATCAGCTTTTCTCTTACGATTTTTATTTGATTTCATATACACAATGTTTTATTTGAGTTTTGAATTAGTTATTTGTTTATTTTTATCATCATCAAATTGATTCTTCAATTGAATAATTAGAAGGTTTTCAATGGAATTAAGATTTACTTTCAAATATATGATTCTCCATATTTTGTAGGACAAGCAAACTAAATTTAAGCAAAATTTTGTGGGTGGTTTCGCTGGGTTTGTGGGTGGATTCGGTATTTTTGGTGGGTGTCGGTGGTGGGGTGGTCTGGGTTTGGGGTTTCGGTGGTGTCGGTGGTCTGGGTTTGGGGGTTTCAGTGGTGGTGGTGGTCTAGGTTTGGGGGTTTTGGTGGTGTTGTTGGTTGTGGTGGTCTGGGTTTGGTTTGGTATGACTGTATGAGTACTCTCTTGTAAGTTAACCATCTCGTCTTCATGTAATATTGCATAATTTTTCTTTATTTCTTTTTCATGAAAGGATGTCAATGTAAGCTAGTCTTAATATTTCTGGTATCAAAGATTTTCAGAAACTTCAATTGGTCTTTAAAGTTCTAGATCCTTGTATGTAATCCTTGAACAAATTTAAAAATTGGGTATCATTTTTATGTTCAATTTACCACTGACAATATTTTTTATTTTTTATTTTTTTTCCTTTCTTTTTCTAGGTGTATAGAAGGATATGGTAGTATAAGCTTAGCTGATGCATTCAAGCTGTTTGGCATGTGTAAACTGCCTCAATCTCTCCTTATGCAGGTTAGTCTACAAATTTTGGCACGTTTAGTTGGTTATAATTTTTCTTTATGTTTTAATTTTGGTGTTTTTCCTTTGGTTTTTATTTTTTCCATTTTTAAAGCTTCAACTTGCAACATATTATGATTCTTATTTCAAATTCTTCCCCAAAATATCACTTATTACTTTTGTTGTCTTGTAATAGGTATGGCGATGAACATAAGCTTGCTGGATTTTCAGCAACATTGCAAGCTATTATTAATATAGTTATCTTATCTTTGTATATAGCGACCTTTATGTAAATGTGGTCAAAATTGATATAGTTACCCTACTTTTATATATAGTGAATTCTATGAATAGGATCAAAATTGATATAGCTATCCTATTTTTGTATATAGTGACAAATGTAAAAATTGATATAGTTACCCTATTTTCGTATATAATTATGTTGTTTTTATATATAGTGAATCTACGTTATTTTTTTTTAAACCTTTAGATCTTGTTAGTAATAATAGATGGTTGAGATTTTCTATTTTTAGTTTTCACCATAAGCCCTGTTTTAAGTGGAACTTCCCCGTTTATATATATATATATATATATATATATATATATATAAAAGAAAGAAAGATGAATGACACCTGATGTCATCACCACATGAATGCATGTGTCAAATTGCCATGCAAGCATGATAATGCCGAATATATAGTGGGCATGCTCCATTACATGGGAAGATTATTCTAAAAAGATATTATGATAATAATTTATCATAATTATACAAATTTTTAAATGAATCTGGTCCACAATAAATTTATTGTGGACCAAGTTTCTCACGTGCTTACTTCTCCTATTACTAGCTTCTTACAAATTAATACAACAATTTATTTTCCCTTTCTTTCTTTTCACAAAAACGCACCTCACACTTTCTCTCTCTTCCAAGCTTCCCTTCTTCCATTTTCTCTCTCTTCAAAATCAGCTTTGCCATTTCTGTCAAATTGCTTGAATTCTTCTTCAATGGCAAGAACTCGAGGTGGTGGCACATTTCACTGGAGAAGAGGTCTTCGTTCTTCAGATACAAAAATAGATCAACCACTTTCTAGTATAATCTTTGTTTATCATTTGATTTCTGCAATTTTATGCTGATTAATTGTTGTTTTTCTTTAATTGAAACTATTTGCATGAATTTTTGTTTGAATTTTGTTTCGTAGTGAAGATTATTTGAAGATCTAGGGTTTTCCGATGTTCGATTGTTTTCTTTTTTTATTGTTCGATTGAACACATAAAACCACAATAAATATTCGATTGAATTTTGTTTTGATTGTTTAGCTATTTTTTTTTCCTCGTTGAATTTTGATTGATTTTTATGTTTTTCATGATTTAGTTGTTTTCGCTGTTGATTTATTGTTTTTGAGTTTAGTTTCAGTACTTGATGATTTTTTTGTACTCGATGATATTTTGTACTCGATGATGATTTGTGCTTGATGATGTTTTCGCCGTTAATTCATTAGTTTTTCTGTCTCTGCTGTTTGAATGAAGTTTACCGGATTTTTGAGCTTGGATACTTTGGTTACTGGCCTGCATTATGTAATTTGTAATGGTTCTGTTTTTGAGGGTTGATGCCCGTGATTCTCTAGTCTTAAATTTTCTGGTCATTATTGTTTCAGAAAGGTCACTATAATTTACATTTTGATTTCTTTTGTATAATAATGGTGCCAAAGGCTTGAAGAAGAAAACTAGAGCTAACAAGAAAAAGTGTTGCTATAGAGGTTCATGAAGATGTTCTTGAGCATCAAGTTTCTGTAATTGGTTCACCTTCATCTCGTCGTAAGTGAACTCATGAAGATGAAGCTGAATCTGCTGCTCTTGTTCGTCTTAAGAAGCCAAGGACAAGAACGAAAAAATCAATAGTTGAAGCTGGTGAAGCTAGTGGTGATGTACCTACGTAAGTAACTTTATTTATTTTGGAGTGCTTTCAAAAAGTTAGATTCAACATGTATGTTGGTGTGACTATGCAAATTTGGGACTGGATTGTGGTTAAGTTGCTGCTTCTTTGACCTTTAATTATTAGCCATTCATTTGAACTGGTCAGACTACATTGATATTTTTATTTATTAACTTGATGTTGATTTAATGTTGATAGCATTATTATTTCTATTTTGCAGATTGCGGCCATTTAAAACTAAATGTAGGCCTTTGCATTTGGTTAGCATGATGTCTAACTTTACTCTTGATTAAAAAAATTCTGTAGATGAAATCGGTTTTGGAGGGTTGTTATCATTGAAGTTGAAAAGGAATCCTACTAGTATGTACAGGTGGCTAATTGATTCTTTTAACTGTGGTAGCTGCATGTTTTCAATCGATAATAATAAGGAGTTTGTGGTGACTGAGTATGATGTGTTTTTCCTTCCTTTGAACCCCAAAAATGTTGAGGAGATACCTCGATATGCTAATAAAAATAATCCTGACTTTGTTTTCAAACATAATTGGAGATTGCATTTTGGGTTGATGGATGAAAATGATCAAATTCTACTTAATTTGTTAGAAGCTAGGATACCTACTTTAGGCCAAGGTGGAGATGAGTTTAAACAACTCTTTGTTATGCATGCAATATCCACGTTTTTAGCTCCTACTTCGAATAGAAGCGTTGATCTTAGGATTGTCAAGGCACTTGATGATGTTGGACAAATTAAGAATTTTAATTGGTGTAAATATGTTCTTGAAAAATTGCGTGAAGGTGTTAAAAGTTACAAAAAAGGAAAAATTCAGAACTGTTGTGGTTGTATTTTGATGTTGGAGATTATTTACTTCCAAGGTTGAAGTTTAGGAATGTTGAATTAATTACTTCTTTACCCTTAATTCAACATTGGAATGATGAGTTGATTAGGGATAGAATTAAAAAGGAAAAATTGTCCAAAAGTTTTGGGTGTGGGATTTTACTCTCTGATGTATGTGTATCTTGTTAGTGGTAAACTGAAGTTTTTGGATGGACATATTGTGGGCACTGCAGGGGGAAGTATGGGGAATGTTGGGGGGGAGTGTTGACAATGTTGTGAGGAACGTCGGGGGGAGTGTTGATGTGCCTGATTCCAGGGTACAATACAGTTTATTCTCCTACCAGGTTCGATGTCAGATCAAGAGATCTATTCGGCTGCTATTGATGTAAGTAGTAGCTGACTTTTATTCTATATTATTATTTTTATTATTGCTTATGAATTAAATTTTTATACATGGTTTTTTTTTTTTTATGTTTTTGCAGCCCGTTCATGAGCAATTTTTGTTCATGAAAAGAGATATGCATGTGATCTCTTCCTTTTACAATGATAAGATTAAAGAGATTCTTCTTTCACGCGGTATAAATGATGAGGCCATCAACTCTTTGGTACCTACTTTTTCCCAGAATGATCAATTTTTCATGGATTCTCGAGTGCAAGCGGTTATTGATGAGATCTCTAGACTTGCAATTTGGGTGACCAAGATACCTGAGGCATTGGATCAAATTTCTACATTTGAGCACAACAAAACAAGTTGCAATGATGTTAGGAGGGAGACAGTTACAGGAAAAGTGCCTATGATTGGCTTTGAAAATATTCTTGCAAATGGAAAGTCCAGGTGTTTGTTGTCTTTGGATTGGAAATCTGATGAAAAGCTTATACTCATTTCACACTTTTTAAAGTCAAATAACAAGGAAATGAAGCTATTGGATCCATTAGTCCTAGAGATTATTGACTATTGCATTATCAATGATTCTTGTTTGGCTCCTAAGTAAGTAATTTTTTGTTTGATTACATTGATTTTCTCTTATTTATTTATTTATGAAACACCTTTCTAATTCTTATTTTATACTCTTTGACTCAGTGAACTGTTGGTATATTTTCACGAAAAGCATTTGATTTAAAGGCAAGAATCCTACACATTAGGAGAGCCTTTTGAAATCATGAGCAATAGTATTTTGGATTGCTGGGCATTGCTTCTCAATGAAAATCAGAAATATTTGAAGGATGGACCTCAGAAATTGTATGTTGGTTCTTCAATTAGTGTGAGTTGTTTAATTATTTCAATGTTTATACATGTTTATACTTTTTGGTTTTTTTGATTTGTTTAAATATTTTGAAGGTTACAATAGTAGAAGCTGCTAGCAGTGATGGAAATTCACAACTAATGGACAATGTTTATCAAGGTTTGGAGGAGTGGATGAAAATAGCTTACAATGATTTTGATTTGTCAGAAGTGGAGCTGGTAATACTTTCTGTTTTTTGATGCTTTGATAAATATAGTTCCTTTTTTTTTTTTTTTTTTTTTTTTTATGTTATAGATACTTTTTTTTAAACAAGAGTGACTATTGAAAATTGCATAAGTATATTTTTAAAAGAGGTCACTATAATATCAAAAATGGAATCTATATGTTTAATTTTTTTTTTATTATGACTAATGGTGGTATTATTGTTGCAGTTATTTTTACCTTGTCTTTGGGGCAATCACTATTGCTTATTGTGGTGAATTTAACTAAAGGAAAAATTCAGTTTATTAATAATCTGAATTATGATGAGGATAATCGTATCTTCTTGAAAAAGTTGTCTAGTCTCCTGGTATTACTTTCTTACTCTTCCACATTTTCACAATTAAGTTTATTGTTTATTGTTTGTATTGACTAGTTAATAGTGAGAGCCTTATATTCTCACTCTTTTCTTGTCTGGTGTTTCGGAGATTATTGTGGGCATTTTTGTTTTTATTTGTTGCTGATCTTGTAGAATTTTACGGCTGTTAGAATTTTGTTACACATTGATGAGTAGAAAGAACTTGCAGCAAGAAACCAACTTTTTAAAAATGTTTAAATCACTTTTTATTATCATCTTCTTAAGATTCTTTCTTTTTGCTACTGCATTGCTTCTGTGGCTGTTATGATAGCAGGAGTATGGCTATCATCTGATCTATTATTAGGATCTAATCTCTTTTGATCTTGATTAGTATTTTGTGTGGTCTAAACTTTTTTGGGCAACATTGTAGCTGATAGTGAACATAAAGTTGCAGCATGGTTGTTATTTGTAGCATGGTTGTTATAATGACTCTTAATAGATCGTTTAATGCGACTGTGATCTGATTATATGCTATTTTGCTAGAGTGATATGATCAGTACATTCTTTGATCAAAGGCTTACTCAATCTGGAGGTATGGTTAACTACGCTATGGAGTTTCCTACTTTGAATTGGAGATCTAGCAAAGATAATTCAGATTCTGGTGTTTATATTATAATGAGCATGCTTTTATTCAATGGAGCTGATGCGTTTAAATGTGAAATTTTAAAAACAGTAATGATTCTTTCCCTCTTAAATTATTGGTTTTATTTCTTTTAATAAATATCACAATATCTTATATTGATTACTTACTTTTTTAGGCTTCAAATAGGAAGATTCTCCGGATTCAAATTGCTGCATCTTTGGTGTTATCTGATATGAATGAAGCTAGATCAGTTATAATTGATAAGGTGGCTGAATTTAAACCTGATAGGCAACGTCTTTCAAAAGAGGTTGAAGAAAGAAGGAAGAAAGAGATAAGATAGGAAGAATAAGAAGAAGCTGACTGCAGACAAGAAGAAGAAAGGAAAAGGGAAGGCTTAAGATGTCGTGTAACTGATTTTTTTGACTTAGTTGTGATCATAATTTTCTGATGCTAAGTAAAGTACTTGTATAGCTAATTAGTTTTAATTCAACTTTTGTGTAGGTTATTGAAGATTGGAAAAATATTCATTTTGTCTAAACAAGCATTTGACAACATTTTATGAAAATGGTATATTGTTTGTTTAATTCAATTATTAATGTTCTCTGTTATTAAAATAAAAAGGTCTCTGAAAAAAAGGTCTCTATATTAACATACGGGTTACTATGTTAATGTGAAAGGTTATTTTAAACTTATCTTTATAAAGGTCTTTATTTGATAATGAAGGTAACTATGTTAATATTAGAGGTTAAATATATATTGAAAAGGTTTACGATGAAATGTCACTATATTATCATAGGTCACTATATGTTAAAATAAAGTCACTATATTATTTATAAGGTCTTTGTTTGGTGAAAAAAGGTCACTTCGTTTTCAATATTGTATAGTGTCAAAATTAATGACTATGTTAAATTAATGGTAATTATCGTAGGTCATTATATGTTAAAATAAAGTCACTATTTTTTAATAAGGTTACTATTCTAAATATAACGGTAACTATGTCAAAATTAAGGACTATATGTTAATTAATGGTGAAAAACTGACAATACAATGGTATTAAATAAAGATTACTATTTCGGAATAAAGACCACTATATTGTAAAAAATGGTTACTATTCCAAAAAATATATATCTCAAAATTAAAGGTTGCTATGTTAATCATAAAAGAGCATATCATAATAATCAGTATTTATAAGATTTGAGTGTTTTATTTTCTTGATTTCTTATCTGTTGATCATAGGAAACATTGAAACAAGGGAAGGTGAGCAAGAAAGCTTTAACAAATAAAAGGAGCCTTCGGTGTAGTAGAGCAAGCTACCAATTACTTTTCACAGAATAACAAACTTAGAGAAGGAGGCTTTGGGTCTCTGTTTATAAGGTATTAGAATACTCATCTGCTTTATTCCTTGTTTGTTTGAAAAGGCTTAAGTACAATAAATAATATGCTCTAATCAAAGATTACTATTTAGAAATAAAGATCAAATTAAAGGTTACTATGTCAATCATAAAAGACACTATATCATAATAATCAATATTTAAAAGATATAAAGTTTCCAAAAATGAAATTATAAATAAAAGGTAACCATGTAATAATACAGGTTACTATAACAAAATTTTGGTGTTCTTAAGACAAAATTTGATGTCTTTAGACTATTAGAGCATATACTTATTATTTGATTGTCCTCCTTTAGTTTTTGCACGAGCTGGGTCCAGTACTTGAACAACACTAGATGAAGTTGCTTCTGAATTCTTTTCTACACCTGTAGTGTTCTTAGAATGGTTGTTAGTTGAGTTCATAGTAGAAATAATTTCATCTATTGCAATTGAATCTTTTGCGAAGCTTTCTTCTAAGACTTTCCTTGCTTGTTCAAACTTGTGGCTCTAAAGGATTAGACTATATACTTCCTCACCACGTGTAGCTTCCAGGGTGTGAAGTTATTTAATGTCCCCTTCTTCTTTTGCTCTGCCTCCTTACTTTTCCAAACTTCAACCTTAGCCATTTTAGTCCACTTGAAAGATATGTATTACTCTAGGATTATTTCAACATAATGCATGTGCAAGATTCTAAGGCTATGGAAGCATAACCAACCCGACTCTTCAAAATTCTTGCATGGACGTTGAATTGTTTGGTTTGCTGGATCGTAAGTTACTGCTTGAGTTGTGCCATCTCTGCCTTCAAGGTACACTTGGTAAACCATTTTGCTTCCATTAATCAATAGCAGATTAGTTTGAGATCCAATGGCTAGGTTGAATTCTTCTTCAAAGTCCCGAATAATGTATGTGTATAAACTTCAGCAGCATGTTTAAGTAAGGCAGACATCGGATAACTTGAAGTAGGAATTGATTTTGTGCTATTAAACTCATCAAGATCCTGATTCCTTCTCCAAGTATTCACTGTCTTTTGAAATATGTTGTAGAATTTTGTCAAACTTGTCTTCTTGTTTGCTTTGAATCCCACTGCGTGATTTGTGCTTTCACTCCTCTTTGATGACAAGATCCCCGCGGTGAAAAAGTCTTTACTTAGAGCTGCTGACCACTTATGCTTTAGTGAGTATAACCTCTTTAACCAACTGTCATTTTTTAGCTTGTACTTTGTCGTCATTGGATCCCAACATACTTCAAACCGAGCTTCGTTAATAAAAACACTCAAGCATTTTGTGAAAGCAACTTTGAATGTGTCATCGCTCTTCAAAACTCCAAATCTTGTTACAGTATTTTGAATCAAATGCTATAGACATAGTCTATGTTTAGTGTTTGGAAATACCGGCACATTTTTATACAGTTACTATAGTTTCACAAATGGTTATTGCATTTAAAATATAGGTAACTAAATATAATTTAAGTACAAACATATTTAGATGTAGTAGTATTAAAAAAGTTCCTTCAAAAGTAGAAATTACCTTGGGTATTGCTGCTATCATGGCTGCATCTTGGTCTGTAAATAGTGAGACAGGACATTTACCACCCATTGCCTTTTTAAAGGTCTCAAATAGCACACAAATGACTGTATGGTCTCATCAACAGTAAAAGAACAAGCAAACATAGTGTTCTTCCAGTGGTTGTATATTCCTACAAAGGGTGCGCAAATGAGGCTGTAACGATTCGTCCAATATGTGGCATCAAATACAGTGACATCCCCATATAATTTATAGCTGTCAGGGCTACGATTCTCGAGGTGAAGATTTTATCCTTTGTTCCTTGCTTTTTTGGATTTCATCATGAGTTCCTCACCCGTTCTTCTTGTTGTAGTGCCCCGAAGTCTAGTATCGTCCATGGGTTGGCTAGGGCGATTTTAGGCTGGCTTCTCAGTACACCGCTAAGAGGCGTTTTTTATAGGGTACTGTATGCGTCATTCGAAGCGCGCCTACGTTTAGCATGTTGTGAATGTGCTTGGCACTCATAGGGAGTGGGAATTGACATATACGATTAGGGACAACGATTAGGGACAAACAAAGTAGGGATCCGCCAACAAGTTTTTTAGGAAATTGTAAACCGTTCACGGATCATAAAAGGTAACCACGATTAAGGGACAACGAAAGGCCACAACGATTGACCCGTGAAGGTTTACACCCCATTCATAATCCATGAGATTACTAACTCCATATGGTTTGGAACTACGAAAGGAGGATCAGGGATGATGGTACGAAGTGAGTCATGGAGTCACATTTGCCCGTATTGGCCTCTACTCGATTCTTATTGTGAAAAGTACCTCCAGCGATCTCAAAGGCATACAAATAAAGATTCAATTTGCTCCAAACTATATTAGGCTAAATTGGTTGAATGTTAATGCAACGTATAATTCTGAAATATTAGTGATGACTTGATTAAACAACAAGATAAAAAAGGAACCTAAACCGGTTATCCAGATTATCTTATTAGGCGTCACATTCAATTACATATTACCTTTAAACACGCAACATGGTGATCATAAATATAATAAAACCAACATCAACATTGGAAGCAATTTAAAAATAAACGTTAGTAAAATCAAATAAAAATAAACTTAATCATGATACTAGCAATAAGAATAATAATAAGAGTAATTAAGGGAATTAATTACTCACGTTCCTCGCTTCTTTAAATTGCTACATCATGAATTAAAAAGTTAGTAACTTCAATAAAAAATATAAAATCAAATAGAAATTAAATTAAATAAAAGTAGAGTTGATTTGGTCCAAACCCTTAGTCGGTTCTACCTTTCACACCTTGGTTTAAGTATGGAACTTCAGGTGTTGTATGGACTTCGGGGAGTGCTTAAGGGATGTATGGTGAGAGAATAGGGAAGGCTTAGAATAAAAGAGAAAGGAATTAGAATGTGTGTTGGTGCCCCGAGACTGAGAAATCAGCCTCGTATTTATAGAAGAAATGAACAGGGTGATGCACGAAAGCCTAAAAATGAAATACGCCGCGGAGGAAAACCTAAAAATTTTCGCGTCACGGAAGGATTTGCCGTAACACGGCGCAATTTGTCGTGACACGGCGTAATTTGCTGTGACACGGCAGGAATTGCTGTGACAAGACAAGAATTGCCGTGGCGCAACATTTTTGCTGTGACACGGAAAATTTGTTTTCCTGATTTCCGTCCAAATTCATTTTAACCCTATTTCTTAATCATTAAGTACGTATATTTAGGCGCCGTTTAAGAGTTTTGTACCTATTTACGGTTTTTTATTTATTAATCGGGCTTAATTAATAAATAACGAAGTGGATTAAAAAGGGTTTGGGCTACAATGTGAGTTGGACAATGTTCGAATTAATGTTTGGACTAATTTGTTGACTGATGTGTTTGACTGAACATGGATTTTAAGCATTCCTGAGATTAAATACTCGACCCGACCAATAATGGCGCTAAAAGGTTGTTTATCATCGGGTTTGGTTTTGGGGAGATATTTTTAGGTGTCTACAGAAGCCCCCACTTTGACTGAGTTTGCAGAAACGTAAGTTTCGAAAATGATAGTCAAAGTAGTTAATTGGGACGGAGAATGATTTAAGACGCTCTGCGATCCTAAATCACTCTGTGTACGTTGATACCTACAGAAAAGCGTTAGTTCCACAGATCAATGAATAAGGGTATAGAATGCGTATCTGACATCAGTGCATGGCAACAAACACGTTTTGGTAGTCTTCAACGCCTCAAGAAGTCCACGGGATGATGATTTCCCACACCTCGGGAATTTTGTTAGATGATATATTTCCAAGCCTCGGGAATTCTATTAGATGATGTTTTTCCACACCTTAGGAATTCTGTTAGATGATATTTTTTCCACGCCATTCGAGAAGATTGATCTGAGATAGTTTTTCCACGCCTCGGGAATTATGTGATATGATGTTTTTCCACGCCTCAGGAATTCTTTTAGATGATGTTTTTCCACGCCTCGGGAATTATGTTAGATGATGTTTTCCCACGCTCCAGGAAGATTGATATGAGAAAGTTTTTCCACGCCTCAAAAATTATGTTAGATGATGTTTTTCCACGCATCGGGAATTCTGTTAGATGATGTTTTCTATGCCTCGGGAATTCTGTTAGATGATACAATCGATGACTTCTACGTCATGAGAAGTGTGCAACGACCGACAATTTTCCACGC